AGGAAGTTAAAAGGAAGGGAGACTAGAACACAGTTCCATTTTACTCCATGAGAGCTTTTCAGCTGCTCTGAGTAGGATGCAATATTGCAATGCACATTTTGAGAATCAATAAAGCCAGAATAGGAGGCAGGGTGGAAGGCAGGCAGGGTGCTCTGTTAAACTCATACAGCTTTGCCCATAGATACTATGAGTTCACAATGTCAGAAGTTAAGGACAGGCTCATAAAAAGGAACAGATTATCTAATTCTTTCACGATACTTGTTGGATTTCTTTAAAAGTATCACAGGATACTTTTTGCCTACTTATCAGAAAACTGAGCCAGAGTTGTATTTTATTAAGCAAGTAAATGAAGTAAATTTTGATAGAATGTTCAATAGACTGGTTTACAGAGGGGTGGGCAGGCAGGAGGAAGTTTCTATTTTTGAAGATGGGATAAACTGTTTCCAGGGTCCTCCAGGCAGGAATGTGTGTGTGGTGTAAACAATAGGAAGTGAGCTCTCAGAGGTCTGGACATATTATTTGGAGCATCATTAAATAGCTCTGAAATCAAAAAGACTTTTCTGGGTTCTCTATTACATTTAGGTTTTAAAAATTAGCTGGGCAATGTTTAGGACTATTACCAGACCCCAGAGTCTCTAAAAGCTAAGCTCTCAGTTAACGAAGCCGGCAAAACAAACTTACCAGAGTCTGTACGGGTTCATGACTCAAGTAACACAATTAGGGCAAATTACTAGTTGCCTCCTCCTCTCCTTAGGACCCATAGTTATATTTGGGGCAATAAAATATTCTCAGCTAAAAGATTATATTTATATTTCGCTGGCCCACAAAAATTATGTGTGGTCATATGACTAATTCCTAGCCAACGAAGTTAAGTGAAAATGTTTTGTGAACTCTGGGAAAGCATCTTAAAAGACAGATGATGTATACTCTTTGCCCATTTTTTCCTTTCCTCCATTCTGCTGCCTGGAATATGGATATGGTAGCTGGAGCTCTATCAGCCATTTTGTACTATGAAGACAAGGGTCATAACTTAGAAAGAATCTGGATCTCCAAAGACTTTGTGGAGCTAGCGTACTAACACAAAGCCTCCTATATCTGGACTTTTGTTATGTGTGAGAGAAATCAACTACTTCTATATTATTTAATTCAGGATTTAAAAGTTTTTGTTTCATGCAGTCAGAACTAATCCTAAATGATACACCAATCATTTGTATACTCTATCCAAATAGTGAGATTAAATGACTAAGATTAAATGCTCTCATAGTCTTATTTTATCTAAGTTCTTTAGTTATTATCTTGAAATGATAAATAATTTATAGTAAGACTGACACTATAGGTCTTAGCTGACGAATTTTTATTTCATAGGTACCCCCTATGGCAGATCTCATAAAATGAAGAGAATGGAATTCAGTTGTTCTATGGCCTTTTTCATTTAAAACTGGTTTAAGACAACTGTAGTCATTGGTATACAGGAAGAGATGCCCTCATCTTCAAGCTCCTATAGCAGAGTAGTCAATAATTCTCAGCTAATAATAATATGTCACCAAAAGGCCTGGGAAATCTCTCTTTCCCCTGAGCCTCCTGATCTCTGATGGCAATAGTGTGCACTGTGTGGCTCTAAGATTGCCATTTCTAGGGTTTAAACAAGAGAAACCATTAACTGCTACCTGTGGTAATCATTGCTGCTCACAAAATGTTTCTCACTCTCTGTCTTCCAGCGACATGGTAGAATTATACTTCCTGGATCTATGTGGTTGAGTGGGGCTATGTTTGGGCCAGTGAATTATATCACTTCCTAGTTTAGCACGTAATTTCTTATGTGAGACCCTTCAGAGTTGTGTTTTATTTTTATTTATTATTATATTTTTAAACACCTACAGCACTTGGTCTTCCTAGGTGGTCTCCCATGCAAGTACTAACCAGGCCCAGTGATGCTTAGCTTCTGAGATTAGACAAGATCAGGCACGTTCAGGGTGGCATGGCCATAGACAGAGTTGTGTTCTTCACTTGCTGTAGTATCAGGTAGTGGCTGCTCATCGGCTGTGTCCAGGAGGGAGGGTGATGCCACCAAGCAGAGTCTCCAAGTGTCTCTTATTGGACATGCAGTGTGAACAAAAAATACACCTTCTTTTTTGCCTTAATCCACTGAGATTTGGAGATTTTTTTTGTTACTACAGCATAATCTACATTATATTGACTAGTATACCACACTATTCAGAAAAAGGTTCTGAGGATGAGGGTAATCGCAGAGGAACTGAATGGTATAATCTATGGTTCCAGCAACCAGAGAAGAGATGTGGGGAAAAGTTCCCTCCAATTTGACCCATGAGCTTAACCCTTTCAACATCAACAACTTTTGTTCATAAAACTTTTGTCGAGCAGTTTCCTTTATCTATCTACAAAAATCTGTTCGTAAGCAAAGTAATGTTCCTGTCACTTGGTGACTTCGGATCTACTCAAAATTACTGCTGATTCCAGTGGATTCCATACACAGTTAGCTCCACCGTGTGGTGTTTAGGATAAAAGACATTTATCATAGGACTATGTAAGCCAAGTCTCTATCCAATAATACCATATACCTCTTGAGAGGGGGACTATACCTGATTAAAGAAATAGCATTTAGCTTGCTAAGGCACAAATCAAAAGCAAGAGGGAAAATGTTCCTGTTATGTGAGTCAGGAAACTCAACAGTAGTGAGGTTCACTAGTTTATTTATTTATTCAACTAATATTTATTGAGCTCTACTATATACCAGATATTGTGCCTGAATCAAGATATAAAAGTTCCTGCCTTAGTTGTAATAATAATACTACAATATTAGATGTGATAAGTACTATAATCTAAAATAAATCTGGTTTAAGGCATAGAGCAGTGGTGGAGGAATATTTTACGTAAGGTTGACAGAAATAAGGCGGATAGTCCACATTTAGTATTCCCAACATTCCTTTAGATAAATGATCCAAATCTGAAATATTTATAAATATGAACATTCTCCAGCAGACATAAAATGTCAAAACACTTTGAGATGCCCAATTCTTGGTTTCTGAACGTCATCCCTTAGTTTGTACAGGCTACTATAACAAAAATACCATAGACTGGGGGGCTTAAACAATAAACACATTTCTCTCAGTTTTGGTGGCTGGGAAATCCAAGATCAAGGTGCTAGTGGATTTAGTGTGTGGTGAGGGCCCACTTCCTTGTTAGCCATCTTCTCACTTTGTTCTCACATGGCAGAACTGGGTTCTTTTTTATAAGGGCACTAATTCCACTCACAGGGCTCCGTCCTCATGACTTAATCTCTTCCAGAGGTCCCTTCTCTCATCACATTGAGGAGTGGGATTTCAACATATGAATTTCGGGGGGCTGGCTGGGGAGAACATTCAATGTATAGCAATTGCCCTGAGAAGAAATCATAACTCCTTGGAGAAACCACTGATTTTTCAGGATGAGGTGGGAAATGGACAAAAGATCCGGGGACATAGCTATGCAGAAAGTGCAGAAGCACCCAAAGACTAACAGGGTCATGTTAGTCTTTAACCTGTCACAGCAGATGGATTGTAGGGGCTCCCACTGGCAAAACTAGGGGCTATTTAAGCCTCAAGAAGAATAATTGTAATTGATACTACATCGGAGGATTAAAATTAACGTTTGTAGTGGTTTAAAAAAAATAATAAAGGGAAAGGGGACCTGTTTTATAGAAGGATGCCAGTAGAATACATAGAATTAGAGAATCATCATTTTTCCAACTGTAATGTTAACACTGATTCGTGCAAGGACCATGTTGTATATTAATTTCCTGTTGCTGATGTAACAAATTACTTCGAACTTAGTGACTTAAAACAACGGTATGTCTAAAACTTACTTTCAGATGCTTTAGATAGAAACTGTGTGTGTGTGATACTATAATTTATAATATGTATGTGGACTTTATCCCAGTTTCTGGCCCAGAGCTCCTGAAACCTTTGGCATTTCCCAAGTTATAAGAGAAAAAAAGATGTAGGTCACTGTACTGCTATTTAGTCAAACATTATTCAAGATATTCCTATAAATGTATTTTTTAGAAGATTAACGCTTAAGTCAATAAAGCTTAATAAAGCAAAATATCTGCCATCATATGGGTGGGCCTCACCCAATGTGCTGAAGTCTTAATAGAAAGATGATTCTTTCAGAAGGAATCTTGCTGGCAGACTTGCTTCAGACAAACTGCAGCACCAGCTCTTCCCTGGGTCTCCAGGCTGCTGGCCTGTTCTGCCTCTACTACCTTGTGAACCAATTCCTTAAGATAAAAATCAATTGTCCAATATGCATGGTTCCATTTCTAAATCTTATATTCTACTCATTTTGGTTCTTAACATTTCTTATAAAATAGGTACACTAGCAACAAATTCTCTTATCTTTTCCTTGTCTGAAAGTCTTTTCTTACCTGTTTTGAAGAACATTTTTGATGAATATAGAATTCTAGGTCAATAGGTTTTAGCATCTTAAAATTTCATGCCAAGGTCTCTAATTTGCACAGGCTGAGGGAAAAAAAAAATGCAGTGATTCTCTATATGGAGCTTTTCCTCCAGCTGACTTTATATTTTTCTCTGGTTTTCAACAAATTTGATTATGATGTACCTTTTATGTTATCCTGCTATTGAATTTCTTGGATATATAGATTTTTAGTTTCTATGAAGAAAATTTTGACATTTCTTCTTATATTGTTTTTATCTCTCCTACCCAGCTACTAGGACTCCAAATACAGGTATTAAAAGGCTTGATATTATCCTATAGCTGGCTGAGGGACTGTTCTTTTTTTTCTCTTTGTACTTTAAAAAGTTTCAAGTTCACTGATCTTTACTTTTGCAGTAACCAATCTGATATAATTCGATCCATTCCACCTTCTCATCTACCTGGTGACCAGAGACTGTCAAATAGCAGCATTGATTTTTAAAAATAAGCCTTATACATTCTCGAATTGATATAAACATATTAATCAAAAATAAAATATTTAAAAACTATTTAGAAACATTTAGATATCTTTATTATCTATCAAATTAGTTTGTGTATATACACATATATATGTAACATTAGAAGTGATACTGAATATAACATCAGCGATAGGCTTTGTAGTTTATTTTGACCTCTTTTACAGAAGGTGACAGCAATCTGTGGAAAATGCTTTATTGTATTATGCTAATATACTACAGAGTATTCTGAAATAATACAAAAGTAATCCACAGACTTGACTAAGTGAAGATCAGTTGATCCAAAACTTTTCTTCCTCAGTGTTTCACAGCAATTGCTAAAAGTCCAATAAAGCTGATTTTTCCAAGAAAGCTTAATCTAACAACTTTGAGTGATCAATCCGTGCAATGGTCCAGGCAGGCTTAACTCCTTGTGTAAACTCCCTCTGAAATCTAGGAAAAAAATTACAAATAATGTGAATCTTACATTAGTCCAAATACTTCTTAGTAGCTATATAATTTGCAAGTGTACATTAGAGGCAGCTTTTGGAAATAAGCTAATGGTCAATGGTAAATAAAAATCAAAATTAAAAAAGTTTAATCAGTTCAATAACAAAAAAATATCTCACAAAATCAAAGTACATTTTCAATGGACTGATCTATACTCCACAATCTGTCAGTCCTTGAGAGAAACTGGGGTATTATTCTGTGGTTAAATACTAGCTATAACATATATCTAATATGAGGAGAAATAAACTGGACTACAGTGATGAAAACAGCACTTTAGTGGAATTTAGTTTATCCACGTTAGGTCTTGAAAATAACAGTGTTTATGAGCAGCCCATGGTCTTAGTAGGAACTATATTATCAGAACCACCAAAAGTTAGTATTATAGTGTGTGTTCTTTAATTATAAATGATGTCTAAAAAGGGAAAAGTCAGTAAATTCAAATTAAATAAGTATTTAAATATGTAATTGTGTCTCTATTGACTTGCTTAACTTGTTCGCCACTCCAAATTTTATTAGCATAAAAATATACCATAGTATCTTGTTAATAATTTGCTAACCCCCTACTAGATGGTACCTCCTTAAGGGCAAGAACCTTTCAATTTTGTATCTGAACCCTTACCAGAGTACTAGGTAAGTGGGAGATGGTCAAAAAATGTCCAGTGAGTGGAGAGTCCATGTGCCAATTATGGCAGATTTTATTTTCCCAAAATGGCCATAACCATATCTCCCATCCAACGTGTTTTCCTGTAATGTTACCTAGCTGTTGCTCCATAAAGAGGTGGAGTTGGTCTAGGCTTGTTTAATTGTGCAGGTTCTGTGACTGCTTTGATCAGAGGACTATGGCGGAAATGAATTTGTTCCAATCCTGAGCATAGCCCTTTGCTGGTCTATCGTCTTATATCTTCTGCCTCTTAGAAGCCAACCACCATAAAACATGGACTAGCTTGAGACTACCACAAGCTCAAGCCACAAAGAGAGGCCTTGGAGAATGAGAAATTATGTGGAGAAGCCAAAGAGCACCAAGGTGCCGCACGTGTGAGTGAAGAAGCCACTGTGGAAATGAATCCTCTAGCCCCTGTCACCTAGCTGATGCCAGGTGAAGCAGAGAAAATCCCACAGCTGAAATTCCAAAATTCCTGAGCAGTAGAACAGCAGGCAAAATAAATGGGCTGTCCGAAGCTACTGAGTTTTAGAGTGGTTTGAAATGCAGCAATATGACAGCTGAAACACCGTTTAATTGCATTCAGAAATAGTACCTCCTTCTATTTCTGAACACTCCTGCTTCATGGCCAGTATGTCATTATGACTTTTTTCTTCATAAATAACTTCTCAAATTTCAATCCTTTTTTCCTAAAGCTCCCTTTAGTTTTCATACCTTCATACTACCTTCCATTTTCTAGAGAAAGAAAACAATGAAATGTGATTAGACTTACTCATAGCTTGCATTAAGAAGCTGTTTAGTTTCCACATTCTGATCCCCCAACTTAACCTGGAATACACCGGCTCCACTTAAAGTTTCATTGGGGATATTGGCACTGGTTAGATACCAAAAGCACATCAGGATGTTAACAAACTTCCTTCCTTAGGGAAAAAAACACACATACACATACAAATCACAATAATCTATCATCCATATATCCAAAATGAAATCAGAAATTGACAGTAGTTACACAGTTGTTACAGATCAAATTTTGTGTTTATTCTAGCCTAATAAATACCTGCATTGATACTTTTCTATTTTTAGAAAATTCTCTTAGGGTTTATGATATATTTGCCCTCTTTGCATTGCAGTAATAGCTCTTTACTGAGCACGTACTATTTACTAAGTATACTACATAGATTATTTTCAATTTGTGTCATTTTCTAAAGTTATAACATATATCTGTTGTCAAACCAAAAATGAGGGGGAAAAAAACATTTCTTGTCGCTAATTAACCCCAATCGCCAGAAAGACTTCTATTCAATCCTAATTCACTTTGCTATGCCTAGCGATTATGACAATTTCTGTGTAAAAATCAGGCAGTGACTATGATGCAAAGATGCAATTTGAAATATTAGGAGAGAAAAAATATTTAAAAGTACCTTTACAAATGTTTCGAATTAACATGTGAATGAAAAAATTTTAACTATTAAGAGTCCATATCAGAACTGCCTTGAAAAGTGTGTAAGCAAAGGCCAGATTTCCTGTGTGCCTGACGCATAATACATATGTAAATATTTGTAGCAGGAACAAATAAGTCAATACATTTTCAAGAATGTCATAGGGAAAATGTATGCATTGGGCAAGCAGATAACCACTAATGTTCCTTTCAACTTTTTTCATTGTCTCCAAATCTAATTTGGGAGTTCTGCAGTTAATCTTACTTTCAAAACAGTCTTTAGCTGATATCATTTGCTTTTTATTTTACTCCTTACTCCTTCTATTTAACATTCAACTGGGCATTTAAAATGCTCAATTGTTTCCTTCAAGTTAGGATATTTGAAACACAAATATTTTTAATTTGATATATGGGAGCAGCTTGTCTTAGACAATTTTATCAACTTAAGTGACAATCCTCTCTCCTGTGAATTAAATAGTAGTGTTCCAGATAGAAGGGCATAAGAAATTGTTACCATATCTCAACTGTTCCAGAGCTAGATCTTTAAAGAATGAATATAGTATTTTCTCTGAAGTTCTACAAATATTCACTTGTACCAACGAACATCCACTATTTCATGATTATCCAGTAGTTTAGCTTATCTGGATAATTATGTATCATTTAAAGTTAACTGTGATCCAGCATTACCTTTCTCATCATAGTAAATGGAGATGTCTCCTGTTGAAGTGTATACAATTTCATCTATGTCAGCAGCAAGGGCATTTTTATGGCTGTCAGGTAGTGAAGTAACCTTTTCTTTCAATACATGTAGCACCTAAGTTTGGCAAAAAGCAAACTATAATTCGCGTATTGTATTTCAAAAGCTTTTCAAAATGCATAATGAAGTCTTAATGGAATGAATTTTTCTAAATCTATTTTTAAATTTACTACTATATTTACTCATCTTCAAAAGAAAGGCTGAAAACCATCTAGTTATTCAATCAGATAACTCCTAACAAAACATTCTATATGAGAACCAGCAAAAAACATCATATTTACTTACTTATGCCTTAAAGAGCAAGTCATTCTATGCTTTTATATGACCCAAAGTACCCAAAAGAAATGATACAGGGACTCTATTTTAGCTGATGGCACACATTATTTTTACACATAAATAGAGATAATGTACTGTATACCATTCTACTGCAAGAGAAAAATACATTTATTTTTAAAGGAAAATTAAAAGTATACTTTACCTCTTTGGCCACAAGTTCTTCCAATAGATCAAATTTACACTGTGACAGCAACTTGGACACATGAGCAAAAGCCTTAAAAAAAACAGTAGAAGGAAGGTGGTGATTATTTCAAAACATCATGCAAAATACCACATAATATACAATGCTCAAACTTAAATAGCTAAGTGTAAAAAAGACTATTTTATGATAAAGGCAATAAACAATGTCAAACACTAAGATATCAGTGTTAGGCATGACTCAGATTTGGTTGGTGACTGTATTTGGAGATAGGGCCTTTAAAATGGTGATTATATGAGGGTGGGCCCTAATCCAATCTGACTGGTATTCATAAAAGGAGAAACTTGGACACACAAAGATATACCAGGGGCACATGTGACACGCGGAGGTGTGGGAAGAGTGTTGTGCCTGGACGAGGCATGGAAACTCCACATCCCTTTCCACATACCTAACCAGCTGCATCTCTTCCATTTGGCTGTGCCTTTATAATAAACTGTAAACAGCAAGTGCTTTCTTGAGTTCCCCGAACCATTCTAGCAAATTACTGAACCCGAGGAAGGGGGATGTGGGAACTTCCGGTTTATAGCTGGTGGGTCAAAAGTATGGAGGACAGGATTTGAGATTGGTATCTGAAGTACAGCTAATCTTGTAGGACTGAGACCTTAACCTGTGGGATCTGAATTCAATCTGGGGAGTTAGTGTCAGAACTGTAGTAAGCAGCCCTGATAAGGCCTTGATGGCATAGGAGTGTCTAACCTAAACCGTTTTCTAGGAAATAGTCCTCTTTTTCATAGAAAAGGCTAAAATGTACAAGCAAGATATAGGAAAACAAACAGGATCTGATTAATGTGGTTTGATGATCGTAATAGGGAAGATATGTCATATATACACATTGATGGAAAGCCAGGCCTGTGGAGCTAATAAAGTCATTTATAGCGTTGGATTACCTACTCCCCTGGCTCATGTGATGACTAAAAGCTTGCCTAGATTGTACTTAACCATCTCAATTTTAGTGATTCTAGAGGACCAAGACTGCTTGTAGAGTGGGTCACAGGATAGTGCATCCTTAAGCCAATTATTTTACCTTTCTGGAGCTTGGATTTACCATCTGCAAAGGAGGATAAAACTAGAATGATTAATCATAAGGTGACTTTTCATTTTCAATTTCTATGATTAAGAAAAATCTTAATGAACATGATCTAATTGATAAATTGATATTCACAACCCAAGATAACATCTTATTGATGGAAGGTTAGCCTAAGGAGAAAGGGCAAGGGGAGTCTGTGAGAGTAGATATACTAGCTAATGTTTTTGCACCAGATTATTACCAAGCCTCTGAATTATATCATGCAAACATACAGTTTGCACTATGAGATCTGACAGGGAGGTTTTTTAGCCATGTCCTTTTAAATCTTAGGTACTGAAGAACTGATTTGTTTGATCTGAAATATATGTTAAGTAACCACTAATTTAAGAGATTCACCAAACATTTGCTATGGGTGACCCAAAATCCTTTCTGGATATCAGAATAGCTAAATGCACAAAAATTGACTTAGATGATGCAAAACTGCATACGAATTGGCTGAAGGGGTGGAGATTCTACTTAACAGCAAAAAGGGGTGCTAAAATAGCTAATAGCTGGAGGACCTCTAAGATTGGAGAGTGACTAAAAAGTTTCCCATGCTCCTCTGTGTTCAGAGGAAATAGGGACTAAAGCCTGATTTCTGCTCATGGTGGGGAGATGATTTCCATTCCCTAACACGTAAAGGAACTGGTACAGTCATGTATGTGTTATGAAGTACAAAAGCTCACGTCATCAGCAGGCATTGTGGAGAATAGTAGGATCATGCCAATTTCTCTCTGCATGGACTAAAGATGTTGAGAACTGACATGAGTAGATGCTATTAATCAAGTTGCTCTTTGCCTTTTAATTTATTAATAACCACCTAAAGCAGTCAAGAGTTGATTCGGGAAAGCGGGAAACAGGAGTTAATATTGACACTGAATCTAATATTTAATTTATAACTGACAGGTCACATAAATAAATATAAATGGCTGTGTTTATAGAAACAACTGAAATAAATTAGGAGTAAACATATCAATACCAGTATACACTCAATATTGTAAAATGATAAGATGGATGGCATAATTTTAAGGTACAGGAGGCATGAACTGGGAAATAAACTATGACTTCTATCGTTTATCAATAGTTCTGAGATATTTGGTAATGAAAAACTCTGAGTCAAAAGAAAGTTATAAATGGCTTTTTATCCTAGAAAAATTCATGTATACAAAATCTGCAAGTAATCTCAAAACTCAAAGTGATGGGCACCATGGCAAGGGTAAGGTGGAATATTATCAGCCATTCAGAAAGAGGGACAGAACCATCAGCACTATGAATCACCAAAAGCTGCTACTCAGTGTGCAGACTGCTGTGCACTTATCAGCGGGCAGGCTGTCTCAGCAAATCCTTTGAAAGGGGAAAACTGATCACCTCTGCGTAATTCTTTAGGAGTATGATGGGGAGGGTCGGGAATGGGGTACAGACGAAAAAAGGGCAACGGATCTCTGGCGGGAAGTTTTACCTTTCTACTCAAAAATGACCTTATAGCACTTTTAAAATGTTATCTCATTTACTCTTCATAACAATCTTATCCACTTGTTCATTTATTCAAAAACCATTTATGGAGTGCCAAGCAGTCTTTTTCGTTTTGCAGAAAATCATGTTCAGAAAAGATAAAGCCATGTAGCTTGTATGTGGCAGAAATGGGCTTTGAATACTTTTCTGATTCAAACTCTGTAAAGTGGAAAAGGTAATTAGGGGACTTCACCCTGGTGTCTCAATTGAATCTCTCCTTCTAGGCGACCATGCAAACAGAAGCAGAAGCTTAATTCAAGTCAAGAAGTGGCTGGAGGGCTCTGTGCCGGGGTCACTACACACTTTTGGTAATTTGGGACCCAGTGAGGACAGCTCCCGGCTAAACACTTTTACGTGTAATAGTTGAATGCATGAGAAGCGTACAGGTCAACCCCAGGAGAATAAACAAACCTGCTTCGCTCCCTCTGAGAATTCTGCGATGCTGAACTCTTGGTCGAAATAGGCCCAGATAAGGAAGGAGTAAATTCGAGTCCGAATCCAGTTGATGGGGTTGGAGAACCCCAGAATGATCATCTTGGTTTTCTGGCGATGCTGGGGCTGCTCCTCGGTGCTGTAGCTGCGCCGAGGGCAGGCAGGGAAAGCGGGGAGAACCGCGGAGAGCCCCGGAGGGCTGAGCAGGGGACGACGGGGCCCCCGAGCAGGCAGCGCTGAAGCTGCCGAACACAAAGTGACTCGAGGAAATGGGGTCATTCCCGAGCCGAGGTGGCGGCGGCAGAAACAGCAAAGTCCAGCCAAGGACGGCCTCACCTCAGCTGCACCCGGAGTCCGGAGCCGGGCAGCCCCACCAAGCCACGGCCGAGAGAGCAGAAAGCGGGGAAATAGTTGAGCGGCCAGCGCCATTTTTGTGACCTTTCACCTCTGTGCTTGCTTGTGCTGTACTGAAAAAAAGTCGGTAGGAAACCACCTTAGCGGGGTTAGGAGAAAGAGACTGGAGAGTAAAGCTAGCCTGTTGCTGCCACCTCTGGTGAGTCCGCCCCACCCTGGCTCTCCAACACACGATCCGTACAGAGACTCCCAGCCCAGCGCCCGGGACCGACCTGTCTCGCGAGTCCATCCGCCACGCGGACCTATACTCTTCGGGTTGTGTTTCCGGACGGATCACAAATTGAAGAACGTGTTAGGGCCGAGGTTCCCGGGACTTGGAAGAGGACGAGCGTGAACAACCATGGCGGGGCAACGCATTTCGGTACTTCGGCTCGAGGGCGTTTCGCAGGAGCATTTCATGCAACACCTCTATCCGCAGGTGAGACCCTTGCGCAGGGATGAACGGTGAGAAGCCAGGGGATGAATACCCATCCCTACCATTTGGGTGGCTCCAAATTGTTATCTTGTGACCCAGGGTGTGGGGAGGCGGCCGTGGGCGGCCGAAAATAGCTGCTTAGCTCTGCTGCCAAGACGAGGGCGCATGGGGGATAGCGAATGGTTCGTCTATTAAAGTTTCCGGAGAAAACAGCTCTACGTTTATGGGGAGCAGGGTGACCACGGAGAGCTGAGTGCCTGAAACGTTTTACCTAAGAAGCACTACTCACTGCGAGTACTCCATTATGTAGTCTTCTGTCGTTACCGTGGCAATGAAGGGTTGCCCCGCCTTCCTGTTTTCCTTAGGGTTTCCTAAAGTTTAGAGGTTTTGCAGCACCCCACTGTAGGCGCGACGGCACCTGTCAGTCCACTCTAGTTATTGGACTTAAAAGAGCAATTTTTCATTATATCGAGCCAAAAGAAGCAGCAATGGGAATCCCCCAGGAAATGTCCAGTGAGTGGTCTTGGTTTTGGATTCTAACTTACGGGGTTCTAGTTCAAACGTTGGAATCTTTTATATATGTAATTCGAACCTTAGTTCTTTAAACGAAAACTCAGAAAAATATTAAGGGAAAAAAAGTATTTTTACTTGTAGTGTTTTGCAAGGGAGTCCAAGCTTCTGAAAAAACTAAGAATAAAGAGCCCAGCAGATATTTAAAGAAAAAAAACAAAAAAAACAAAAACCCCACACGATTACAGTTAGCATGCTTATGGCAGAAAACACCCCCAGCAATTTTACTTGATACTGACATCTATAAGGGTGGTCATGGAGCTACAGTTTGAGTATTATAAAAGTCAAGGATGAAGTTTTTTTTTTTCTTTTAGGAGTTAGCAACCCACAGATTCTCATTTATTTGCGGGACTAGTGCTGGATGGGTGGTTGTTATTCACCCCACCTCCACCTCAGGATGTGTTAGTGTAAAATACCTGCAGGGCAGTATTGTGAAAATCAAATGGTTTATGTGGAAGTGCTAAGTAGATGCATAGCAAAAACACATTTTGTAACTTAATGTTCCAGGCAAGACATATATCACAAAGAAAGCATCACTAAGTTTCTTTCATAAAGTGAAAAATTACAACACCCTGGTCACAATGTAATAAAACTAGAAATTAATAACAAAATTGCAAAGCAAGACTTTTCTACTTGGAAACACTAAAGAAAAGCTAACATGGAAATTTGCTATGTGATGAAAATGACATTGTAAAAATCACTGGAGCAGACATGAACTTTTAAATCAACAGTGCTGGGACAGCGGGTTATAGTTATTTAGAAAATGATAAAATTAGATTTATATCTGACACCATACACAAGAGTAATCTCCAAATGGATCAGAGCTCTAAAGGTAAAAAAATGAAACTACACAAGCAGTAGAATAAAACACAGGTAAATTCTTCTAAATTATAGGTCTATAAAAGGATTTTCTAACTGTGACTCAAAATTCAGGTATAATAAAAAGATTAAGTACATGAAATACAAACGGAAAAATATTTTCAACATATATTTCATAAAAGGCAGTAAAAGCTCATAAATGTGAAGAACTTTCAAAAATTAAGTGGGAGAAGTCCAGAAATCTCATAAAAAGTGAACAATTGACAACAAAAAACATGAGAAAAATGCCCTCTAAACATATGAAAAGATGTTCAACTTTGCCTCATAAGCAAAATTAAAGTTACACTAAGATACATTTCTCACCTATCACATGGACAAAAATTAAAAGGCTTTAATAATACACTCTTGGTGAGGCTGTTAAGAAACTGTCACTCACACTTTATGCCAAGTGTTGCAACCCTTATGGAGGGGAATTTGGCATGTCTAACAAAACCGTATGTGTTTACGATCTAGCAGTTTCTCTTTTGGGAATTTACTTGGGGGTTACACCTCCAACAATATTAAAATATTTAAATAGTGTTTATTGAACACCTGAAACTTACCGGATTACATTAACCAATGTCACCGTAATAAAAATAAATAGCGTTGATTGTACTTGAAAATTATTGGAAATAACCTCAAATCTTTGCATAAGAGAGTGATTAATTAAACTGTCCATTTAGACTGTGGCACACTGAGATATAAAAAAAAGTGAAAGAGATAATCTGAGCTGATAGCAGTGATATCCAGGACATAGTTTTAAATTTTTTTTAAAAAGCAATCTCTAAAATACAGGTATGCCACTTTTTGTGTAAAAAAAGAAGGGAAATAAGGAAGTATATGTTTTTAAACAATTTGCAATAAATGAAATACAGGAACCATAAGCCAGAAATTAATAAGATTGATTGTCTGTAGGGAATGAGTGAGTACAAGGTGGAAGGATGTGGATGGGATGATCTTTTTGTATAGTTTTGACTTTGGGGATCATGTTAATGTTTTATGTTCTAAAGTAATAGTAATAAAGTTAACAAGGATTAAGAATGATTTAAAAAACAAAACTAATATAGAATTTTTTTAAAAAAGTGAATCTCAGGAATGGGGAGGATGAAAAATAAGCCAAGTCACTTTTGAAAATAATAACTTTGAGTATATATTCTCACTCTAAAATAAAAAGAAAAACTGTAAACAGGTACTGAATTCTGGTTAGTAGACTTGTTAAACATCAAGGATGTTAGGAACCAGGTTTCTCATTGTTAGAGAAGGGAGTTACACATACATGAACAATAAAGATTGGAATGAATCTTGTCATATAAGATATGACAGGTATCAGAATCAGAGGTATCATGGTTCATATATATATATCACTTAAGTGTGTGTGTGTATATAGTATATATGGAGAGAGATAAATAAATATACCTATATGCATATATGTGCATATGTACGTGTATATATATTTTTTGAGGGGGTGAGTATATGCACAGCTTAGCATTATTTCTTGGTTCTGTCCACTGAGAAGGCCCAGAAGTAGTGATACCCCAATAGCAATGAACACACCTAGCATCCAGGTCATGGTTTCTAAATAGCATTCCCCACTAAAAGAAACCAGAGCTGTTTTATGAAAAGACTGTAGGGCTGAGGCAGAGAAAGTATAAGAGGTTGCTGGATTGTGCTACTTTGTTACAAAGTAAGCAAGTGCTCAGGTAAAACGTCACCAGCCAGTTCGAAGGAGCTCCTGCTGGCCAAATCTGGGATAATTTGAGCATCAAAATTATATTAATAAATTATAACCCAATGACTAAAGTAAATAAATGCAAAAGTTGACATTTTGACATTAGAATGCTAGCTAATAAATGTAGATAATGGAATTTTTAAATATCATGATCGTTGTACTCACAATAGGCATACTTGACTCAGGCAAGAATTCCCAATTGATCAACATTAACATCACAGATAGTAGGGCAAATGCCATGTGCCATCTGAGGTGTTGCACTGAGGACACAACATTGCTTCTGCGGTACATTCCTTCCAAAAATGCATAACCTGAATGTAATTATGAAGAAATATCAGATGAATCCAAACTAAAGAGCATTCTACAAAAGAACTGGCTTGTGCTTTTCAAAAATGTCAGAGTCATGAGAAAAAAAGGCTGAGGAGCTATTCCAGATAAAAGAGACATTACTAAATGCTATGTGGCATCTCAAATGGGAAATAAATAACTATAAAGGATATTATTAGGACAATTAGTAAAATTTGGATATGGACTGTGGGTTAGATAATAGTAATATGTCGTTATTAACTATAATTTTGATACTTCTGTGATTATGTAAGATAATGTCTTTATTCTCAAGAAATATACTCAAGTTTTTAGAGCTAAAAGAGCATGATATCAGCAACTTACCATGAAATAGTTCAGGAAAAATTAAATTATCTTTAATAATATCTTCCTGTCTATACACACAGCAAGAATGAGAGAAGATGATAAAGAAAATGGGGCATAATGTTAGATAAATAAATGGTTGATTAATCAGAGTAAAGGTATATGGGAATTCTTTGTGATGTTCTTGAGACTGCCATAATCACTGACATAGTATCAAAATAAAAAGTTACAAACAGTATTTGACTATAAATACAAATTTTAATCATTTATGTTTTGTCCTAAGTAACACTCATGAAAATGCTTTAAAGAATGTTAAGATTTTCCCTCTCTTAGCTATTGATGGTATTGCTGTTTTGTTTTTGTTATCCTAGTGTTAAAAGTTTGTTCTAAGTATATTAATTGAGTCGTCTTCCTGTTTTAATTACAGCATGAATTATCAAAAGGTTTGAGCTTGAGCATATTGGAATCAAGTGTCATTTTATTTATTTTTGTCCCTCTGTTGCCAAATACAACTTCTGATGTATTGTTGGTTTTCCCTATTCTTTTTTATACTTTTTCCCCCAATTAAGAGAAAACCTCTAGTGTTGGAAGGAATTGATTTGGGAGCCTGTACAAGCAAATGGACAGTGGATTACCTAAGTCAAGTTGGAGGGAAGAAAGAAGTAAAGATTCATGTTGCTGCAGTTGCCCAGATGGACTTCATTAGTAAGAACTTTGTATATAGGTATTTTCTTCTGAGGTTTACTCTGGGAATACAAATAACTTATTTTAAACCTTTAAAATATTTTTGTGTTATTATGGCACTTTATCTTTTGGCTAGTTTAGTATAATCATGAATAGTTTACTAATTTTTAAAGAATGACTTTTAAAACAAGAATTCTGAGTTAACGTAATAATACAAAGACATTTCCAATGACCATTTTTTAAATACAGTATATACCTGATACCTTCTGGAATCACACAAGGAACAGAGAATTTTCATGAGATTGTATTTGAAATTGGGTGTGCTGTAGTCATTCAATGCTTCATTAATTAATTGATCCTACCATGTTAATAATTGTTATCTAGAGTAATAAATTCTAAAGTTTTCCTTCATAACCTTTTTTGATTTTTAATACCCTTATTTTTGGAAACTTTTCTAAATCCAGATCGTTTTTAGATAAATATAAGCCCTTGTTTTCCTTTCTGCCCTCTCTGGAAATATAGGACATGTAGTTGCTATGTTTGGTATAATCTTTCATTAACTCGGATAACTTTTTAAAAAATCAGTCCTAATTTTCTCTTTTGAAAAAATAATCTTAAATACTTTTAATTTTCCTCATGGTTGTTCTTTTATGTTTTAGGATCTCTTATAAGTAAATAAGAGATAGTTAAAAGCTGCCGGATATCTAAATCTGAAAGCTTTAAATGTTGTAATGTTATATCTTTAATATACTGTTTATTCCCATGAGTTTCATTGAAAATGTTTAAAAAATTAACAGCTTTCAAATTCTGAGCATGTGTAGTTCCCAGCAAATTCAATCTATTGAGAAACCATGTAGTTCACAATAGCCTGATTTTTAAAAAGAGTTAGCTCTCACTGTTCCTTCCAGAGTTTAGAGATGAGTTAAACAGAGCTTCTAATGTCCAGGGCCATTTCTTTCTCATTAGAGTTTTCCAAGCCCATATAGCAGCTTGCCAAAGCATTTCTCAGTTTCCGATCCTTTGAATATTCACCATTATAGTTTTGGTTTTTTAATAGGCCATGAATTTAATTTAATTGCCATAGTTTTTCCAAGTGTAAGAACTTTTCATTTTTTATTAAATCAAGAAAAAGAAAGAAAGTGCCGGAATGATAAGCGTTTTTCTGATTGCAGTTAATGATGTTTATTTCCCAGAGATTCCAATGCTGTAACAATTAGTTATTGAAACTTCATCTTAAATTGCCTTGATGTTTTGGCATGTCCTGTAAACTTTTTGAAACTTGATTTTGAAGCACATACATTATGTAATAGTTCTTACCCAAGCTTTCTCCAAACCTTTCATTGGCGCTACTAAAGAGTTGCAAGATTATTTTCTTAGTGTAAGGGAAAAAAAATAGATTTAATCATTTTTGGCAGTTAACGGGGAGTAGAAAAGAAGGTAGGCATTTAGGCCAAAGACAGAATAGAAAGTAAGAAATCCTACACACATTTATCATTATTATCACTTCAGTTTAATAATAATTGTAATGCAGGTGAACAAACAGAGGCTAAAAAATGTTAAGTAACTTACCTGAGATTATATAGCTTGAAATGATGGAATCAGGACTTAGACCCAAATTTGCCTGACTCCACGGAGCTCATGATCCTAACCCCAATTTCATACTACCTCCTTTGCTAGTCTATGCAACAGTCCAGACAAATGCAACTTCAGTATCAGATGCCCTTTTAGAAACATGCATGGGATGGATAAGATCTCAAGGCCAAAGAACTTTCCAGTTCATATACTTTATTTCCCTCTCTCTCAGCTTTGCTTCTGCAGAATGTCTGACATGTACCACTACCTAAGGGAGAAGGTTGCTGGGGGCACCTTCAGCAACCTTCTGAAGTTCTGCTGTTCTGCTTCTCTGGACTGAGCCACTCTGTCTGCTCTGTTCTTATAAGGTCTTGAAACACTTATGGGTTCTCCTGAGTGAAAAAGCTAAGCCTGGGCAACTGCACCAATTATAGAGATAGCTCTGGGCCAGAGAGGCTTCCACATTGTTCCCAAACTCCTAAAGATGCTTTAATGGGAATGAAGGGCATATGGCGAGGTCAGAGATGGAAAACATTGAATAGGAGGATGCCAAGTAAATTTGTTGATATAATTAGCCAGAAACTATAGTAGGAAATTGGTCAAAGTAGATGGCAGATTTCTTTCTTTTCTCTTGCAGTGCTCACTCTACATAACTAACAGCAGTGTCCTCAGGTTCAGATTGACATTCATGCTTACAGGACCCACTAGTCTATAAGCTGGCATCAGATTCACTTGGCTTTGCAGGAAACAGAATTCTAGCAAGATATCATCAGTAGGAGTCCTTATACTAATCCAGGAGCCATTTCTTGGCTCACCAAGTAACAGCTTACTTGTAAAAGAATAGAACTATAATGGTGGATGCAGAAATACCTAACTTAGACACCAGTAACATGATAGACTCATGAACTTCCAGGTTCCTCCAAGGGGCTTACTCAGTTGCAAGAGTTACACTGTACACAGGGAAGTCAAATCTTCTGCCTCCTAAAAAGTATTTATAGTCCACTCACCAGCCTTCTAGTCCAGACATAGTTTACCAATCAAAGGTCATTTTTATAATAAACAGTATTACCTGATATCACAGCTGACATTCCATGTTTATCTTAACCCTGTTCATTTCTAGGAAAACATTGCTAGGAGAAAGTAAGCCCAAGGTCATCTTCTTATAGAGGAGGAGAAAGTGTGTTGTTAACTCTTTCTCTCCATCTCTCCCCCAGTACAGATTTCAAGTGGAAAGATATTTGGTAGTAAGAATGATAAGATTACAACCCTTAATCAAAGGTTTGGAGGCTGGAGTGCAGTGGGAGAGAAAAGGAAAGGCTTTTGACCCAGATGCTTTTAAGGACTTCATTGTCTTGATATTATTGATATGGGATCATCTTCATATAGGAGGCAGTACGTTTGATTCTAGAAGGTTCAAGATATAGGATGGGACCTAGAGAAAAGATCGCATTTCAGGCTCAAGAATGCAAGGTAAAGGATATAAACTTTGCTTCTATGATATTTAGCCCTGTTCACCAAGGTGCAAGGAACCAGGCATTTGGGCAGAAATATTGAAGAAGAATAAAACTTGGTTGTTTCACTAAAATTCTCCTTGAGATATTACTCAGAAGCCTTAAAATGACAGAAGGTGGTGTAGAAGGATGAGAACAGTGTTCTGTGTTCTATGGTAGTGCCAGAAGGCAGGAAGATCAGTGAGAGGGAGAGGGACTTTATCTTCATTGGATCCTTTGCCTGCTTTCTCTTCCAAAAGAGCACTAGTAGTTGCCCTATTCATCACAAGACTTGTTTTGCCATGACACTTGGAAATAGGTAGCAAAAAGAGCTTGAAAGTTTGTGTATTTCCAAAAGTCATCAAACACTATAGAAACATTTTTCTAACAATAACTTGGAATAGGAGGATCTTGACATGAGAAGTATCCACCTCTACCATAGACGTAAAAATCTTTACTTTTTGAAATCTCAATTTCAGACAACCTAGGTCAAATAAGCACACCACTAAATGAATTTTGAAAATTTAGAATTCCACATAATAGATTTTAATAAAAATTATGGATATTGTAAAACGGAAGATCATCTCTAACTCTAAGCCCCTATATATAGTGATTAGAGTATTCTTTTTTGATTTATTATTATTAAATGCAAGGATTCTTTTGTGTGTTTTCAGAACTTTACCTTTTGACAAGTTGGTTCAGAGAGCTGCTGAAGAAAAGCATAAAGAATTCTTTATGTCAGAGGTAATTGATTTTAACATTCTTTAGAAAACATTAATATCTGTATACTAAGTGAATTTTCTTATAAGAACATTGGATATTTAACAGCTGTAGCCTTCTTTGATATACTTCTTTGATATACTACAGCTGTAGTCACTCTTAAACTTTGGTTGTGATGCCATAGATATTAATTCTGCTATTAGATCTTAAACCTTGGCCAAATTATTTTTGTGTCTCAGTGTACTCAGTTATAAAATAGGAATAATAACAGTACTTATTTCATAGGATTTTTGTGATGATTAAATAAAATCCATACTTAGCCCAGTGCCTGACTAGAAACTACTCGCTAAATGTTAGCCATTAATATTTAATATTACTTTCTTTGAAAATGCTTTGGTCTGATATGCCAAATTCAAATGCTAATGGAGAACTATTTTCATCTTATTGACTATTAGACTATTTCTGTATTTTAGTTGTTATCAGTGTGATTTCTATTGTGCGTATTTGCTATATATAACATTTGTTCAGAAGTATTCTACTTATTTACATGATAGTCCACCTTTAAATAGATCAATTTAAATATCTTGAGATAAGGCATTGAGGCTTATACTATATATAAATACATTTTAAAAATTCACTGTCATCTCAAAAGCACATTTTAAAAATAAACTGTTTTTTAAGCATTGAATAAAGTTGCATTTGAGCTAGCTGGGCTGGTAGTCAGTTTGATTGTAAAAGGTGTTGCATTTTCACAGTTGTCTCATCAGGTACAGGTTATACTAGATTACCACCAAGGTCCCTACAAACTCTGGAGGTCTGTGGTTCTATAGTATAACTAGAATGTCTACTAAAACTGATTTCATTAGCCATACCTGAAAAATGGTATTTTAACTTCATGCTTACACTTTAACATGTAGGTTCAGTTGCCCTTTGGTACTTTTCTGTCCAATGGTAATGAGAGGCACAGCTTAAATAGCTATGAAATGTCAAGTGAAATGAAAGAAATAGAAACGAGGTAAAGGATTAAAGTTTAAAAATTGTGGTAAGTGTGTAAATAAGATGAGTATGGACTGTCAGTTTGTCTATCTCAGCATCTGCTTCCTACAGGAAGCAGATGCTGAGATAGAGTTAGGAGTGCAAGAAATTTTATTGGGAAATAATACTTGTGAAAAGAAAGGGGGCGACTGGATACTGGGAAACCATCAGCCAGTGCTATAGGTCTGCCAACTCAGTGTGGAACTCCTGAACAAAGATTGCCTGTTAGAGGAGTCCTGTGTTGGGCAGCATTGTCTAGGCCTTTTACCATCTTGCTCAGTCATTGGTTGGGGATACCCCAACAAGGGGAGGACCTTGGTTCAAAGGCTGAGGGAGACCTGAAGGAGTTAGCAGCTGGCAGCTGGAAGTTAATCTCACTCCTTGCAACTAAATAGCGAATACTTTCTCAAAGAGGAGTCCTTGCAGTGTATTTCTGTATCTGCCACATAAATATATTCTATAAATCCTAAATATTAGAATTGGTAGAAAACTTAGAATTTTGAAGAACATACGTGAAACCTAATTAGCCAGTAATTTATAGAATTTACCTGATTCGGTACTAGTTAAAAATACAAAAACAGTTGAAAGCTAGTTAAATTTATGATCATAGATTTATAATGTGTTGTTACAGTAAATAAGATGTATTTTGAAGTTTGTGTTAGTGTAGGGATAAAAGAGGCAGAATTCTTGTGTTGGATTGCGCCTGTGCTTGACCCCAGTATATCTCAGTTGTCTAATTCTTATAGGAAATGCAAGCACCAGTAATGTTTTATAATTTAAACAGTTCCTTATTATAGCTACTCAGTGAAGTATAATTGATCATTTTTTAAAGTATCAACTTCATTTACTAATATAAAATGTCATATTTCTAATTCCTAATGAGCTGACTTAAAGGATTTGGCTTGAGAATTTATATAATCAGGGATAGGCTTAGCTTGATAAAATACAGTGTTTCACAATTTTTTAAAAAAATTATTAAAAGTATAAAATATTTTATTTATCCCCTATTCAGCATTTGCATCATATTAGTTTGTTGTTGGCCCTCAGCAATATCTTGAGATCATGTGCTATACAAATGGGAATGAAAATTCTTTTAGGTCTTAAGAAGACATTTTTAGGAATTCATATGATTTAGAGTATAAAGTCTAAGCATTGTGGTATGTGTATATTGCCTTTAGAATTTATTTTACTTAATGTTTTGAGGATTCAGTCATTATTATGAGACATTTCTTCATTTGGCCACCAGAGAGCATTAGTAGAAAGGGTAGAAAAATGGAACTTTTTTGAAAATGACTTAAAACTGGGTTAGATTTTAAGACTTGTTTCCTTCCATCTTTACTTTCTAATATTTTTACATGACTACTGATGTTGTTTTTCTTTGTGACATTTAAGAATGAGAAGTACTACTTACGGTCACTTGGGGAAGACCCTAGAAAGGTAAGAATTCTGAATATCAAACAATTGCTTAAAGCTTAAGTGGATGTATATATTTTAATTGGCACTATAATTTTTATACTTACTAGCTGACATATGACCCATTTTATCTTTTTTGTTTTTCTCAATGATTCTAGCCCTTGAATAAGAAGTACGACTATTAAAAGTTGATAACTTAGTTTTCAAGTAGGATCATAGAATCTTAGTTGTTTAAAGTCATCTGCTCTAATCTCTACACAATTAAGAAATCCTTTCTACTGTACGTTTTACAGATTGCCATTCAGCTAAGAAAATATAATCTAAAATAACTATAAAAATTCCGAATAATTTATGTAACCTTTGACATGCATTCAGAGTCCAGTTACTATGGCTTCATTGTTAAGGAGTGATCCTTGAAATAATCAAATAAGATTATATTTTTGCCTCTATGTCACCATTTAGTTCTTTACCTTCTTTTATTCTTCTCCTTCAGTAGAACCCACAGGTTTTATGTAGTTGATAACATTCAAGTTGTTGACTCCTAAACTTAAAATACTCGATCTTAGATGACAATTGTATTAATCTTGCTTTAAGTAGGAAGAACCTTTCTACAAAAGGAGCATCGTAAACTTAACAGTAACAATATTGTTGAATCTGCAGTCTTGTTATACAGTCTGTTATTTCCTTATTTGTTGGTTATGGTCACATTCTAGTATTTTAAAGTAGTAAACAGAGTTTTGCCCCATTCCTTCTTAATATCATGGACTCTGCTGGCAGCCTTATATAAAATAAGCATTATGCCAGTATTGTGTTTATTATTTAAAATTTTGTTGTTTCTCTCAATGCAGGATGTTGCAGATATCAGAAAGCAGTTTCCTTTACTGGAAGGAGATATTAAGTTTCCAAAATTTTTCAAAGAGGAGCAATTCTTTTCCAGTGTTTTTCGAATTAGCTCACCAGGATTACAACTTTGGACCCACTATGATGTATGCTACACAAATGAGAAATCTAAAGCTACTGTAGATTTTAGCATCTATAGATATAATAGTCACAGTTTCAACTCTGTAGGCTACCCTAAAGATCTTTGACATGTAATTTGCTGAATGGTGAGGTTTAAAAACAGATGCTCTCTGCAAGATGGTGATATGGGAGTGAATTATTAAATAATGCTAAAGCTTAGTTTCTCAACATGTACATTTCTCTGTCTTGTTCTTGATTCATCGTATATGTATATCAAGTTTTATGCAGTGTTTTTTTTACATGTGAAAAATGGCCACCAGACAAGGGCGAAAATTATGAAAGTGGAAAAAGTGATGAGATAATGTTATGAGGATGTCGAAATGATACACATGACTAGATGGAACTCTTATTTAGGATAATGGCAGAAGTTTGTGGAGAGCCATTTCCAATTGTAAGAATTCAGGGGATATCTGAAGGTCTTAAGATATATATCCCCCGAGGATTTCAGCTGCCTGTTGTATTTGTTGAGTAGCAAGATGTGTAGATTATTGATTTTGATAATTTATTCTATGGTGTTATAATTTTATTTTCTTAAATATATGCATATAAATATTTTAAAAGACATTAAAAATCTAGCATCGTGTATAATTTGGTGTTGGGTGGAAAAATTTAGGAAGTTAAAACAATACCTAAGAGATGTCTAAAGATAAAGGAATTTTGTTTGAAAGTTCTAAATCAAACTGTATTAAGTTTTATAAGTGTGTTATATAATTCAGCCGAAGACCTCTTAGGAGTATTTTAATATAGCAACTGTAATTAAGTAAGATAGACATAAAATCTTAACGTACTGTTTTTTTAAAGGTTTTACATAAAATGATCTCATAAGAAAATGATGTGATAACTCAAATACATTTTTAACTATATTCTGTGACTTTTAAATTATAAGTAGTATCTGTTCTATATTGAGTTATAGTGGAATATTATAAAGCTTTTCTTAAGTTAGAACTAAGTCAGAGGAATGCTAGTGATATAGTTAAGGGTTAGTGGTTAAAGGAGAAATGCTTAAGTAGAAGCGATATGTAAATAATCATGAGTATATCTTGCTTAGTATATACTTTAATTCCTTAGTTGAGAATTACATAGCTCTGCTTTTTAACATTTTCCACAACCTGTACCAACAAAATACATCCTTGCATGCACAAGAAGAGTCAAGATTGATCCATTTATAAGTATATCAAAAAAATTTGCCAGGTTCTAGTCCTACAGAAGTAATTTAGAAATCAAGATACCTATAACCATATTATAGTTGGCCATATATTAAAATTTACTAAAAGAGCAGTGGTTGCCACAATACCTTATATTTTCCCAACACTTAATTTTTCTAAGTGCTTTCAATCTGTTGTCCAATGTTGGCCTTATAGCATTGCTTGACAGACAAGTAATATATACTAATCAGAGGGAGCCTCGAGTAGGTGTAAATACCCTCACTGTTGTAATGATGGGGCAAGAGCACATAGTTTTCACTTCAGATTTCCTAATGGCTTGCCAGCCTTTTCCATTTTAAGGCAGTGCTGCAGAAATATCTTTAATAAAGGCACGGTTGTGTTTGGAATACAAGTATTTTCATTGGAATATTAATATAAGAGTTTTAGATAATGCGAGTCAAGTCTCATTAAAGGATAAGATTTACAATTAACTGCAATATCATTGGTTCTATGTATGTAAGTTTTAGGTATTTCTTATCTATAAGTTCTCATTGGTCTTCAGGTAATGGATAACTTCTTAATACAAGTGACAGGAAAAAAGCGTGTTGTACTGTTCAGTCCTCGAGATGCCCAGTATTTATATTTATCAGGTACTTTTTTATTTTTTAAGTGAATATTTCTAAAGTAGTTTATTCAGTTACTTTTTTTTAAGAATTCTCTTTATTCTCATAGAAAAACATTTTAGAGCTTCTTCCTAATTATGATGTATTGTGTTCTCCATTATGTATATATGTCATGATAGCTAATATAAAGAATGAGATTTTCAGGTTTTCTTAATTGTATTATATGGATGTCAGTGGTCATAAATAAAGGGTGGGTCATTGAAAGGAGAATAATAATTCTTCTCACTGTGGGTACTGTAAGTAATTGTACAGAAAATAAATTTTCAAATTTATGTAATTTTTTAAAAATGCTAACTTTGTTCAATCTATGTTATCCTTTTTTGGAACTTTTCAGGTACTAAATCAGAAGTACTAAATATAGATAACCCAGACTTAGCTAAATATCCACTGTTTTCCAAGGCTAGAAGGTATGAATGTTCCCTTAAAGCTGGAGATGTATTATTCATTCCTGGTAAGATTTCTAAAACTCCGTAGTTTGCTATTTATAAAATCTGTACTGTCACTTATCCATTATATGATTTTTTAGTACAAAAGTATATTGGTAATATGTATCCTGTCCTGTACAATATGATTTTTATACACAAATGTGTGTGTGTGTGTGTTTAAAGTATGCTTAGGCACATTTTTAGAAAATCAACAGTCTTTTTCAAAGGCAACCTATAAATATATTTTTATATACTCCAAATTATTTTTTTAAATGACGTCAAGCAAGATACCTTTCTATCCGGGAAAATATTATACCTGGTTTTTCTTTTTAATTATTTTATTTCTAATATATTTATATGTTTTAGAACTATGTAATTTAAGTAGTTACTAAGAAATGGTAAATATATTTTAAAGCCAAAACAGATTAGAGATTTTATTAAATATCAAAATGTTATAATTTCCAACACCTGTGATGTCTTTTGTGTGCATTATTTTTCTACAGTCTGAATTAGTGTTAGTTAATTTCTTTGTATAATAAATAAGCGTTAGTTGTTACTAACCAGTAATGTAATTAATATCTGTAATTATGATTCTGAAATGAATACCTGAAAATTATAAAAACCATAATTAAGATTAAAGGAGTGCATTAACAAATTCTATCTCTATAGTTATTTCCCCATATATTAGTTAATATATTTATAAACATTAATACTTCTTTTCAGTGATGAAATTAAGTTAAACAGTATTAATGAAAATTAAGTTTAAAAATATTAGTAAAAATATCTCATTTGGGGCTAGATTATAAATTCCTTGAGAACAATAAACCATGTGTTGTTAATCTTTATATTCCTCCTGAGGGGCTGGATACAATGTCCTTCATATAATTGATTGTCTATAAAAATTTGATACATTGACTTTCTATATTCATTGAAAACAATCAGCGCACTAGTCTTTAAATCTCTTGCCATTATTTAAATTTCGGAGTTTTTTTTATCTTTAGAATGTGGTTAAGGGCTTTGTAGTTTTCCCTTATTCTGTGCACAATTTTTTTTTTTTAAAAAAGGAAAAACCAGAAATACTGAACATTTGCATATATTTTGAAATAAAAGCAAAAGCTCCATCTTTGGATTTAAATTTAACAAAATGTTTAGCTTTTTTTCCTGTTTCACTAAATAAGGAAAAAGAGATTCTGAAAGAAAGAGTGCTTAAGATTAAAACCATGTTTGAAAACTAGTTTTGCAAGTCAAAATATTTTAAGCTTTTGTTTTTCCTAGAGCACTCTGAGTTTGTTTCTAAAATTTAGTATCTTATAAATCTTCCTTTCATTGTTTGACTAGCTTAAACCTTTTTTTAATGTGATTGTTACTTTATCTTTGTTATATTGTGGTATTGCTTTAGTATTCTTGTAGCACCCATATTTTAAAAATGTTTAAACTCAATTGAAAACAAAGAAGTAAACTTTATGGTGGAAGTAAAAAATAGCTATATAATATGAAAAAGTTTACTCATCCTCTCCTTCACCAAAATGTTTGCTCTAGTTTTATATACTTATTGTAAAGAAGCTGAAAGAAATACAAGCTGATTGTAATTGCATTAGAAATATAAAACTGAGTAGGCTACAATGAATGCAAATTTAAGCAAGTTAGAAAATCAAATACAACTAGAACAGGAAGTCTCTGAGAACAAAAGTACTGTACTGAGCAAGAAAAGGTCATATATACTCCTCAAATAATTAAAATGTTCTGTATACAAAAAAAATAGTTTTGATGTGGTCGTGGGACTCAGGAAGTGTAAACAAGTAACACAAAACACAGCCCCAAATTACAAAACTACAAAACAAATATAACTTTATTATGTCTTTTAAGTTAAAAAGGAAAAATTGCTATTTCCAAAGGTTTTAAATGTAGGGTTGTGCTGTTGACACTTTAAATTGGTTGGCAATTCATAAAAGTTAAGATGATTCTGTTAAAAGCTGGGAGTATGCTAACGAAGGAATCTTCGTTACAAGAATTATTTCTTACATTGGCTACATGCAATTCGTGATATTTCACTGACATTTTATTTTTTTAACTGTAGTTCTTATTTTTAACTTAAAATTTTTTTTTCCTCCAGCTTTATGGTTCCATAATGTAATTTCTGAAGAGTTTGGAGTGGGAGTGAATGTCTTTTGGAAACACCTTCCATCTGAATGCTATGATAAAACAGATACCTATGGAAACAAAGATCCTACAGCAGCATCAAGAGCTGCACAAATTTTGGACAGAGCCATAAAAACATTGGCTGAATTACCAGAGGAATACCAGGACTTTTATGCACGGCGAATGGTCTTACACATTCAAGACAAAGCCTATAGCAAAAACTTTGAGTAAATAACAGAGCGAATGCAATGAATATAAACTTGTAAATAGAGTTCAGCTCAAATATTAGAAAAATATACAAGATATAAATTATTTTTATAGATTTTTGGTTAAAAGAGGAAATATAAATCAGTCTCAGATTTATAGATTAAATAAGTATCAAGGGATGTTGTGTGGCTTCTACTTAATACAGATTGTTATGGTTCAAAGAACGTTGTGCTGGGACTACTCTTTAGCTTTTAGGTGCAAATAATTAAAAATTCAAAGTGACTTAAGAAAATGTATTGAATAATTATACATACAGTCTCATGATAATTGGGCTTCACTATTTCTGATCCAGTGATTTAGTATTGTCATTAAGAACTTCTGGGTTTTTTCCTCCCTTTTTCAACTGCTGCATTGGCATCATTCTAAGGCTGGTTACCTCGTGGTCATGGAATGATTGCCAGTAGCAGTTGGGGCCGTGTGCACCTTCATTTAAATGCAGTGGAGGAGTCAGGCTGGATTCCAGGGGCCCTCTCAATACAAGAAAGCTTTCCCAGAGTTTGCCACCAAATCCTTGGTCTCACTGATCTAAAGTGGCTTAGACCAGTCCATTCCCTAGCCAGTCACTGGCAAGAGGTATGGAATAACCCCGGGGCCAATCAGGTCTACTAGAGCTAAGGTACATGAGGTACATATGGGGGCAGAATGATTATTTTTAAAATAAGAATTCTGATAAGGAAAAATGGTGGGCAACTAACAAATGTCTACTATATTAATCTTTTGAGCTTTTAAGTACAGATGCCTGGGTCCTAACTATAGACTGATTCAGTGTGTTTCAGGTTTTACCAAAACTGTATTTGATAGACATCATAGGTTATTTTGATGTATAATCAGGACTGAGAACAACTGGATTAGATGATAGTAATTTAGATTACTAGTTTTGTGATTCATTTAAAACAAATTAATGATCCTGGTTTTTCTTGGAACTGAGTATAACTTAGGCCTGCCCCTTTTTTCAGGTTTTGAATGTCAGAAAATACTCAAATTAGTTTTAATTTATACCTATGGTTAAACTTCACCCTCATTCAAGTTTTCCCCATGAAATGCTTTTCCACTTATCCCTTAAAGAAAAAATATTTAAAAAAAATAAGTGAGAGAGCCCAAAAATGTCACCATTGAAGACAATGAGCCATTGTATGTGGATCTGTGCCATTCTTTGTTTTGGACCTTAGTAATTATTTGCACTGTAATTGAAGATGAAATATATTTCCTAAACACAAATGTGCCCATCTAAAGGGTTCTGAGTATATCAATTTGGTGTATTTTAATTCAGAATGATTTTTCATTTGGAAATAATTCATTTCATATTCTGTGTTTGGAGTTGGATTAATTTCAGGTATAAAAAGCAAATTATAATCAGAAAGGAAAAGTGTATAAAAAACTATTGTGAACTTCCTAGGTGTCTGAGAAAAGGTATTGAAGTTACTCCGATCAACAAAAGTGAAGAGATTCTATCAGAAAAGAAATTGTTATGTTAGCCAGATCTAATTATTACATTTTGAAATTTGGTTATGTCTTAGGTTAAGCAAAGAACTTTTTTACATGAGTCTTTTGGGAAGAAAAAAAAAGACAATGCCCCTGTTTGAACAGTATTTATAGTCAGTTATTTAATAAACCCTCTGTTTTGCCCTCCTCCCCCCACCCCTTTTTTAACCAGTAAGAGAATCAGTGCAAAGTATATACCCAGAGCCATGTAGAAAACTTGGAAAACAGATTACAGTTGGCTCAGTGAATGTTCATTTTAATTGTTTATTTGGGAAGCAAACTGAATGACCTTAGGCAAGTTAATCTTAATGATGCTTGTTTTCCTCATCTTTAAAATAGAACTAAGTAAGACTTTATAGGGTTGCTACAAAAATACAGAGTTGGTTCAAGGGTAGGCACATAATTGATGACTGGTGCTAGCTTCCACTTAATTATATTTCTTTGCTGAGTGATTTGAGGTTAATTATGATATCTGGAAAGCTTGAGATGAACACCTTGGGAAGTTTTAAAATTATTTCTCTGGTCATAATTTTAATGTTGGTGTTTGTTTTAATCTTTTTTGCCTAACTGGTTGAGACCAAACGATGTTTTGAATGTATAAAATATTACAGTATTTGTTTGCTGCAACTTCTCAGGAATTCCAAATCTTAGAATTTTATTGCTGAAAGGGATCTTAGAAATCACTAATCAGTCCAGATTGCTTAAATGATTATCCAGGCTCACAAAGCTAGGTGATAGAAACTGGAATTAGTTATGGTGACCAGGTTAGTAATTCTCCATTCTTTCTGCCTTAGGTGCAGCTCATCTCAAATACTTCTGAATACATTATATAATTATTTGGCAACAGTTTGGGGGCTTGGCCTGATGCACAAAGGAATAGTTTTCCTCTGCCAGCAAAACTCATTGTACTGCTTGCTGCATAGACAAGGGATACAAAGTTAAGACTAATGATAAACAGGTAGACAGTAGAGTATAATATAAAAATGGAATACCATGCAGTAAAAGAATGAGACAGAGATATATGTAGGTACTGGCAAGGAATTTTTCCAAGGTAATTAAATGAGAAAAAAGGTTTGAAACTGGGTATATGCTGCTATTTTGTAAAACAAAGATATGCTGTAAGTAAACATTTGTACATACATAAAATTATTACTGCAGCAATATACAAGAAACCAGTGATAGACACTGCCTCAGGTTAGACAAATAGGTGGCAGACTGGAATCTAGTTGAAATTTTTGCTCCTGTATTTTAAAATTAATTTAAAAACGTGTATATTGTAATTATTAGCTTTTCATGAACACATTAACAGTATGTCTTGATACATAATTACATTGGAATGCTATTCAGCAATGAATTTCAGACTTATCACTTCCATAAAATATCAAAACAAGGGAAACAAAGTCCAGAAGGCTTATTTTCTATCTTTCCAACCTTTTTAATAGCAGCTATGTGAACATTTGGAAAGAACCTTAGTAACAAGGCTTTTCTCCCACCTATCTAAAGTTGCCAGTAGACATCTAAGCTGAATTTAAGAAGCTGCCAAAAAAAAACAGGAAGCTGGTGTGCAGGTCTGGATGGAATTGGAACTGTGCTGCTGTGATTCCTTCCCCCGGCGCTAAAACACAGATGTAGTCGGGAGGAACTAACATGGATTGGCAGTCACCCACATATCTCTGGTGTTACCTTAAAGTCTTATTTTAAGCATACAGGCCATGAGTGTTTGAATGTCTTAAATACACCTAAGTTGTATTCAATTTTTAAAGTTTCATTAAATGGGATACTAAAATGGCCATCTAAGTGACTCTGCTTCTCTACCACTAACAGAGCTAGTAGGCCTCACTGCCTTTGTAAAGAGCAACCTGAATTTACAGACGAAGTATATCTACATGTATATCTTATCCTTTAAAGCATGTTTCTCTTAAAGGCCCTTAAATGAAGCCTAACAGAATAGCTCTTTTAAGACTACTACCTTTTGTTTCCTATTTTACCTCTTAAGCTTTACACATTTCTTTACTAACATGCTGGGACTGTTTTGTTTGTACTATATTCTTAGTGCCTAGACCCTCCTTGCCTTGGTGGGTGCTTAGGTACTACTACTACATGAATAAAATGAAAAACAGATCACACCATATTCTAACCAAGTCTCTTAAGGAGAGCTAAAAGAATACAGATACCTGATGAGATTAGCACAAAAGGAAGAACTCATTTTTGAGAGATTTTGTTCACTTGGAACAGAAGTGGAAATAATGCAGACTTGTGTGGAGCAATATAAAGCAGATATATTTTAAAAGGAAGTTTCAAAGTTGCTCATTTGAAAAAAACATGGGGGTCAATGAAAACATACCCAAATTGGCAGTGGAAATAGCTTCCTTTCAAATAACAGTCTGAAGTTTTAACAAATCTAATAACATAAAGCATATCCAAACACTTCTGTGGATTAGATTTAATACAATTGTACATTCATGCTGTGACAGTAACAACTTTAACATTATTTGTATGACTACTTTTCTCCATTCATGACAAAAGGTATAATCCAAAAAGATACACTAACATTTACAAAAGTTTTAGACAAATGTGGAGAACAAATTTGAAGTATTAAAATATTTGAATATGGGTCACTTTGAATATATTTCATTCAAGAAATACTCTTCAACACTATCTCATTTTGATGCAGTGGCAGTTCCAACTGTCCAGTGAGATTAATATCCATTCAACATAACAATTATAATGAAGTAGTCACATGACTAAAGAACCTAGATTTTTAATATCTCAGTTTTTAATGA